ATGAATGAGCCTAGATGCACATCAGATCCTTCGGGAAGAACCATTCAGGTTCTTGTGCTTTGATCTCTTTAGTTTGTTTTCATCATCTCTATTATCTATGCATTTATCTAATTTTTAAAGCAAAGAGATTAAATCAACGGCTCAACTTTTAAGAAGATAAGCTGAGTGATGTTCACTTTCTCCAACTTCCTTGCAATCTTTTCTACTATCTGTTCGTTCCTCTTTTTTTTTTTCTTCTGAATTTTAAATAAAATTGGGGTCGGGATTCCTTTTCTGCTTTGGTTGTTTTTACACAAGTCAAATGCAAACATTAAGCCTTGAAATATGGTGATAAAATTAGTGATATAGGATAAGTTTTTAAAAAAATCATGAATTATACAGTGAGATTTTTAATATATAATACATAAACTATAATCTAAGTGTTTGGTTTGTCCGACTAAAATATGGGATATGTGATATAAATTTCAATTTTTAACTTTGAATTTTCAATCCTTCAAGTGTTTCGGCATTTTGAGGGCCTTCTTAGTAATGAATAGTACGGATGTTGGTGCATATCATAAACACCACAGACCCTTATATGAACACCAAAAGCCCGGGTATTTAATAGAAAATTGTTATGATGCCTAATACGAATACATAAGGGAAAATGACACTGTATAACCGCTCTCAAATACATTATTTATAGTTAGTGTTACTATATTATATGTGTATATTTTAAATTCAAGCCTAAAACAATAGATTCAATAACCCAAAAGCATTAGATTCAGCATCTGCAAATACATCCCCTTGAATTTAATAAGGGTGTGGCATGGTTAATTATTAGAGTACCGAGAAAGTTCTCCATTAATTATCATGCAGGGTAGCTCCTAGGTTAGTTCACATAATTGACTAGGAATTAACGTCATCTACTTTCCCTGCCGTTTTCAAGTGCACCTCATTTATTACTTATGATGTCAGTACATCCTAATGCAAGAATTAATGTTTTCTAGAGGGAAACAATATGAAAAGGATTTATGCTGAGTTTAATTTCTTTGTGTGCAGGGCTGGGCAACGGAGATGGCTTCTTATGTTAAGTCTATTGACAGAAACCATTTGTTAGAAGTTGGCTTAGAAGGATTCTATGGGCAATCAACTCCTCAGAGGAGGAGTCTGAATCCTAATTTTGACATAGGAACTGACTTCATCGCCAACAACCGTATACCTGGCATTGATTTTGCTACTGCTCATGCCTATCCCGATCAATGGTAAACTTTTCAGAACCACATTGCACATTAGAATAATATCCTTACAGAGACTACATCACCTTTTTTAGTTATCTTGAAAAATGGAAGTGTTTTCTGTGATCGACTCATCTAAAAGTTTAAACTTTTAAAAAAGGTGACACCAAATTCAGTATGATATCGAATCAGCAATCTTGAGTTCAAGTTTCACCGTCACCTAAAAACAAAAATACTTCACGTGCTTGACCAAGGAAAAAGAATCAGGTCTGCACATGAGAGACGTGTTACAAAATGTCTCATCTATACTTGTAGATGAAGTTTGTTACGTAATTTAAGAGTTCCATAATTGTAAAGTTATATTATGACAGGATAACAAACTCAAATGATCAAGCCCAGCTATCGTTTCTCAACAATTGGCTAAACTCCCACATTCAAGATGCTCAATATATTCTCCGAAAGCCATTACTGATCACAGAATTCGGGAAATCTTGGAAAGATTCAGGTTTCAGCTCCTACAAGAGGGACCTTCTTTACAACACAGTGTATTACAAGATATATTCATCAGCCAAGCGTGGGGGAGCAGCAGCTGGGGGGTTCTTCTGGCAACTTTTAAGTGAAGGAATGGACTCGTTTCGTGATGGATATGAGATAGTCTTAAGCCAAAACCCTTCAACTGCAAATTTGATTGCTCAACAATCTCATAAGCTGTACCAGATTCGGAAAATATTCTCAAGAATGAGAAATATTCAGAGGTGGAAGAGAGCAAAGGCTGCTAGAAGGGGTGATTGGACAGGTAGCAACAGAGGAAGGCGAATTGGAAACTAATGAAAAACATGCTATATTTCAATTTGAAGCTATAACTTCTGTTTTTAATGAAGTAGCATGTGTGACAGAGAAAAACTGTCCTAAACGATTTTGTTTGAACATTCTCTAAACAGTTTGCAAAAGCCCTTCTTAGAGATGATTATATTTCATCCAGGTGGGTTAATAGATTACTTACTAGTTGTGTTGTTTTCTTAGTACTTGACTACTTGTGTAGTTATTTAAATGTTTGTAATTTGCCATCATATCCTGTCAGTAATGAAAGGGTTTGAAAGAAGTCTCGACTTTCATTATATGTGTTATTCCTATTAGGTACTGCTACTTAAAATTTAGAGCTTCTGACATAAGTGGCCACTCGGCCAAAACATAGCCCATAGTTTTACATCCGGAAAAGGTCCAATAATATCCTTAAACTATTGGATATAGCTCAATTTTATCCTTCGTTAGCAAACTGGGCCATTAACATCCCTCACGTTAGCAAACTGGACCAATAATGCCTTCATTTTAACGGCAATCCACATAAGCCTTCTCCAAGGCATTAATTAGCTGACATGACATCCACATAAGCGGATCTCTCTTAAGCCTGCTCCAATAACCCATTAACCCATAAAACAAATACCCAATTATCAATCAAACATTATTGGTCCTTTTCCAATTGTTAAATGGGTTGCTGAGCGTTTTCGAAACACAAAGAGTGATAAAATGTCGGAAGAGGTAGCGGAAGAGTCTTTAGAGGATCTCGTTAGCAGAAGTTTGATTTTGGCTAGTAGACGACGAGCCAGTGGTAAATTAAAAAATTGCAGAATTCATGACATCCTTCGACAATTATGTTTGAAAGAAGGAAAAGCTGAGAAGTTTTTTAATATCATAACTAAATGTTTTGATGTGTCCTCTGAAGGTACGAAGATTGAACGCAGAAGGCTTATGTGGACTGCCGTTAAAATGAAAGCATTATTGGTCCAGTTTGCTAACGTGAGGGATATTAATGGCCCAGTTTACTAACGGAGGACAAAATTGAGCTATATCCAATAGTTTAAGGATATTATCGGACCTTTTCCGGTTTTACATCACAATTTTGTAGCAAAAAACAAATAACATAGGCTAACCAACAAATAGTTTTAAGCGCCCCTTTGTCCCTCTTTCACTAGTCATTTCCTTCTAACCAGCAGTAACAATCTAATTTTTAGAAATACAATTAGTTGATTTTAGGTAAAAACAAATGAAAGCATTTCAAAAAATAGTAAAGATAAATTTGCAATGAGAAATTACTATTTTGATGCACCTAACATAAAAAAATCAAAGGACCTATAACTCTTCCTCATTGGCGGCCTTAGCCATTATCGATCATATTAACTTTTCTTTTATAATTCCATCTTTTTTTTTTGGCTCACCAAAAATAACTCAAATAGACTGTCACTATACAAAATATATGCTAAACAGACTGTCACTTTACAAAATATATACTAAATAGACTGTCACTATACAATTTTGTGTATAATATACTGTCACTATACAAAATAGATTGTCACTATACAAAAAATATACAAAATAGACTGTCACTATACAAAAAATATACAAAATAGACCGTCACTATACAAAAATGTTACACCCCATATCTTGGTACAAAAGAGTATTCGTAAATCAATTGATGTAAGCTCAGAAATGAGATCATCTTTGAGGGTACATAAAGTAAGTTAATCATGTTACCTTGGAGATTAAAATTTTTTAAGATCATGGATAACATGTACCAAGAGGGTTGAAAAGCTAAGAAGCTAAATAAATTGAAGAAAATAAGTTTCGTCGAATGTCGACAAGTAGGGTGCTTAACAAGATAAGAAGGTTATTTTATGAGTTATTTTAGTCGTATGATAGTCTTGTATTATGTTTTTAAGTCAAGCAAGTTGTGGAACAAAAGTTGGCAAAGATCATCACAAGTTACATTCATAAATGTGCTAAAAATTAGGTCAAATGTAGATGCGATTATCACCCAAATACTTGGAATTAAGGGATGATATACCTACCAAATTGAAGATCTATGAGTCTATTTTCTAACGCATTAAACCGTTTGTGAATACGATATCGAAGTAGAGAGATATGTGCGTTTCCGCGAGACTGCGCAGACTACTAGGTGATGACAAGTAGGTGTGTTACCTACTTGCTTAAATGAGAGTCTAAAAAAGGGGCTATTTCGGGTTGGCCAAAGAGCCCATTTAAGAGCTTATATTTTTTAATATAACACTCAATTATATAATACAATAACCAAACTGATGTTCTAAACGTCAATACCACACATGAAGGGGGGNCGCATTCCTTGTTTTGTTTACTCACACTTAGCATCTATCGCCTAACAACTTGTATTAAGATAAATCACATATTTTTAGAACCACAAAATTAAATATAATTGTAGCTACCATCTTCAAGGTAAACACATGCATGGGCACCCATCGAGACATTGCAGGATTTATGCCGCTGTTGCAGGTGAAAACATAGTCAAATACTCTCTTCGTTATAACATACATCATAAAAATATACCTTAAATTCTACGTCGAAATTGTATATTAGGTTTGGGCCTGGGAGTGGTTCCTGCAGTTTCAGCCACCTCTACAACCCATAGCTCAGGATGTACCACCTCTACCGTTTCTTCCTTTAGCTAGCAGGTGGGTTGATAGGCAGGGATACGGACGTGAGTACGAGACTCGACATAATCTCCCCTATTACAGGGATTTGTTGGATTTGCTGGAGGCCGCGAAGGTAATTCTATACTTAAGTTTACTTGGCCTAGATTTATATGTATTGTATATACTCACGGTTCCTATTTTTACGTAATAGCTCATTTGAAGGCCATACATCGACAAGCTAATAGCTGGTTTGCCCGATTATTGCTCGACCGGGCAACTTATCTGGAGTTTTTCCGTCCCGTTGATGTGTCTCAATATTGTCGAGCATCATGCCACAGAACGAGTCATTCGCCAGTTTGGTCAACCGCAGTATGTACCTCCACCGTCCGCTTGGCTTAGGACACATTACCCGCGGGATGATCATTCAAGGGGTGACCAGGCGTATGAGGCATGGCTAGAGTTCCACAAATAGCGTCCACGTCTCTTGGCTTTCATTGACACAAATAACAAAAGCAAGGGGAAATATACCTCCATTACCATCTACTACAACGGCGATCAGTCCAAAGTCTTAACTTTTGTGTAACTAATTGTAATTTGAAGGGGTTGGATTTTGTGATATCTGAAGCAAGAAGGTATGGAATTAAGGTTGTATTAAGCTTGGCAAATAATTATGAGAGCTTTGGGGGGAAGAAACAATATGTGAACTGGGCTACAAGTCATGGGCAGTATCTCAATTCGGATGATGATTTCTTTCGAAACCCTGTTGTTAAGGGCTATTACAAGAATCATATTAGGGTAACCAA